ATATTAATTCAGGAAAACTTGGCTTATTAGGCAAATCGAGCCTTGAATAGTAGGCCAAAAAGTGAGTTCTGGCTACTAGGTACGACATATATATATATATATATATATATATATATATATATATATATATATATATATATATATATATATATATATATATATATATATATATATATATATATATATATATATATATGTCGTACCTAATAGCCAGAACGCACTTCTCAGCCTACTATTCAAGGCCCGATTTGCCTAATAAGCCAAGTTTTCATGAATTAATGTTTTTTCGTCTACCTAACCTACCTAACCTAACCTAACCTAGCTTTTTTTGGCTACCTAACATAACCTTACCTATAAATATAGGTTAGGTTAGGTTAGGTAGGGTTGGTTAGGTTCGGTCATATATCTACGTTAATTTTAACTCCAATAAAAAAAAATTGACCTCATACATAGAGAAAAGGGTTGCTTTATCATTTCATAAGAAAAAAATTATAGTAAATATAATAATTCAGGAAAACTTGGCTTATTAGGCAAATCGGGCCTTGAATAGTAGGCTGAGAAGTGAGTTCTGGCTACTAGGTACGACATATATATATATATATATATATATATATATATATATATATATATATATATATATATATATATATATATATATATATATATATATATATATATATATATATATATATATATATATATATATATATATATATATATATATATATATATATATATAAATGGAAATGTTCGTTTGTTCAGAGTCGCTAACCTCCGAAAGTTCTTCACCGATTGCCTAGAAATTTTCACACAACGTTCCATTCGCATCCGAGCAGGTTTTTATATACATACTATATAGATGTCACGTCTGTGACGGAATTTTTTTTTTTTTAAGGGGGCGTCAGGTTGTCAGGTCAAAGTTGTTCAATGTCAACCAATATTATTTGACTAGTTGTATATGAAAAGTGCTTTAATTGTCCCAAGTTTAAGTACTGCAGCGTAAATAGAAAGGGAGATTTTTTTTTTTCAACGTTTTTTACACATTTTCAAGTCCACACGTTTCAGATATAATTATTCTGTGACACTTTTCTGACACATTAGCATATAATAAAGGACCTTGACATATAGAATTTCGAAAACATCTTTAGTTTTCCTAATACAAATGTTCAAAGTTCCCAAAATTTTATTTGCAAATATGGCAGGTTTATTGCTATTATAAAATCAATAAATGAACTTAGAGAAAAATTAAAACTCTCCAATGTAGAGACATGCCCTCCACATATACTGTGTAAGTTTCATGTAAATTGAATAAAAAATGAATCAGTTTTGCAAACGTTTGTGTCAATTGAAAAAAAAAAAAACAGAAATGAATAAAGTCTAAGGTTCTAAAATCTGTGGCTGAGGTTGACATCAACCAATTTTCTCCTAAATTGGCATCCTTACAGATAGGCTTACGTACAGTCAGGTGTGTAAGTTTGATGTAAATCGCCCGAAAAAAAAAGAAAAAAAAAATGTTTTTTTTTCCTAATTTTTTTTTCAATTAAACTAATTATAATATTTGTTTAATATATGCTATTGTGATAGCAAAGAGTCATAGCTATGATTTCAGTTGACAATTTTGATTGATAATCGATTTTGACCATTTTGGCATAATTTTCACAACTACTTCAATATTTTGTTTCTCCCTTCCTATTTATGCTACGATGCTGAAACTTGGACCAGATGAAACACTTTTCATATAGAACTTGTCAATTGCTGATTCACTCACTGGCCACCAGAGGGCCAGGATTTGCTCGTTTGACCTGCCAGTTGTCGCCTGGTGCTGAGTGGAGGCGGGTGTGGATTGTGGTGTGGTGCGCCCGCTGGCCAGAGGGCTCTGCTGGTGGTATGGTGGTTGGTGGTGTGTCCCGCGTACGGCGGGTGGACACAGTGTGCCTTGACTTCTCAGGGGATGTGGACTGGGCGCTTGTGGAAGTTGCCGTCGTCGATGTGCTTCAAGTGGATGTCCAGGATTTGATAGGGCTGGAAAAACTTTCCCCTACGCGGGTGGCGGTGACCTTCTGCAGGAGCTCGCTGTACAAGGAGTTTGTGGCGTGTTGGGCGGCCATTTCGGATCCCTGGGGGGCCATGCAGTACGTGAGTGTGCATGGTGTACCGGTGACGTTATCTGAGGTCGAGCTGCGGTTTGTGTTTGAGAAGTATGGGGTGGTGCAGTTTCACCGCTTCAACCTTTTGCGTACAGGCCGGCTGAGTGGGCTGCGTACGGGCACTCGTACGCTAGGTATGAAGATTACGTCACCAGTACCGCCTCGTCTTCTGTATCGTGGGCTCTCGCTCAGAGTATTTTGTCAGGGCCAGACTCGCACTTGTCTCCGGTGTGGTGCTGAGGGCCATGTGGCGGACAGCTATGATGCTCCTCGAGCCGAGGCTCCCTCCGTTTTCTTGGAGGGTGACTTCCCCCCTTTGGATACGCGGGGGGCTTCCTCGTCGCCTTCTCGCCCTGGCGAGGTGTCTGGGGTGCTTCCTGCAGCGGGTTCGGCAAGTGCTCCCTCTGTCCCTGTTTGGTCGGGACATAGTATGTCTGCTTCACCGGTGTGCTCTGTGGGAACAGGAGTTCCTGCCTCGGGGGTTCTTCGTTCAGTGGTGGCGGAGGTGCATCCGCGGCCGAAGGCTTCTGTGCGGTCCTCGGCTGCTGCTGTTTGTGTGGTACCTGCTTCCCCTGCTGAAGATTGTCTGCTGCCCGGGGATGCTGGGGTGGTGGGGTGTGTATCCTCCTCCCAGCCCTCTGACTCTGCATCGACTCCCTCGTCGTCTGCGAATGTCGCCTCGCCACTTGGTTTGTCAGCTGTGCTTGCCTCGGCGTCCGTGGTGGATGCCCCCTGTGAGCTGGAGTGTGCTCTCCCGCTTTCTGGGCCTGCCCCTTCTGCTCCGGTCTCCGGGCGTGGTGGTAGGCTGTGGCCCCATGCTGTGGAGGTTGCTGTTTTGTGTGACCGTGCTGCCTCGGTTTGGGCCCGCCCGCGTCGGGTTCTTCTGGAGCACCCCTTGCTGGGGGGTCGTTGTACCGACGATCAGCAGCCTCATGTGAAGCGCCGTCGTTCGGCTAAGAATACGTCGCTTCGTCGGTTGTGGGCGGAGGGAGGTGTTGCGATGGAGGATGCGGGCGAGGACATCGAGGAGGCGTCTTCTGTGGTGCCTCCAGTGTCGGCAGCTGCGCCTCCTGTGCCTCCTGCTGGTGGCACCCCTGGGTGGGTAGCTTTTCGCGGTGCCCGGGACCTGGTGGTCGTGTTGTCTAAAGATGGCTGTCGGGGGGCTTCGGCCCTCGTTCCGGTTGGTGGGGGCTCTGCGGCTCCGGCGGATGGCTCATCAGTGAGGCTGGGTACGGCGACTGGCGGTGTTCGCTGTGATCGCCCTGTGGTCCAGGATGATGTGCGGCCAGCGTGTCGCGACGGGTTGGGGGTGTCCTGAGGTTGTCCTGATGGCGCCCTTCGTTGTATGTGTGTCCTTGAATGTTCGGGGTTTGAATGCTCTTGGGGTCCAGTTGGGCCTGTTGGATGTTCTGCAGGAGCACAGTGTGGATGTGGCTCTCATACAGGAGCATAATGTGCGTGATGTGTCTGTGTTGCAGTGTCTGAGCGTGTATTATCATGTGGTGCTCAACCCGCCGAGGACGCCTTTCGGGGGGACCCTTATGTTATTTTCTCGTAGGGCCTCCTTCTCCGTGCTTCACACGGAGTTGGACGAGGATGGGCGGGTGTTATTTGTGCGGGTGAAGTTTTTGGGGGTCGTCATTCCGTTCTTGACGGTGTACGCCCCCTCGGGTGCGGCGCGTCGTCGGGAGAGGGAGGAGTTTTTTCAGGTGGGGCTTCTCCCTTTCTTGCACCATGATACGCGGGGCATGATTTTTTGGGGGGACTTCAATTGTGTGACGAGTGCACGGGATTGTTGTAGCGCTCATCCGCAGAATGTCTCGGGTGCGCTGCTGGAGGTGGTGCGTTCCTGCGGTTTCCGGGACGCTGCTGTCCTCTTTGGTGGAGAGCTGTCGTTTACTTTTGCTGCACGTGGGGAGCATTCGCGGATTGATAGGGTGTATGTCAATGGTGGGGAATGTACGGTGTATGATTTTCGCACTATCCCGGTTGCATTCTCTTACCACAGTTTGGTGGTGGTCCGGGTTGGGGTGCCCAGTCAGGTGCGGGGTGGTGGAAGCTGAATTGTGGGTTGTTGCGTTCTCCGCGTGTTTGTCGTCAGTTTCGGTGTTGGTGGGTCGGGATTCGGGCCCGGCGTTGTGAGTTTCTGTCTGTCTTGGAGTGGTGGGAGTGGTGTAAGGTGCAGTGTCGTTTGTTTTTTCGCGTGGTTGCTAAACGCGAGGCTGCTGGGCGCTTTGGGTTGCTGCGGTTGTTGCAGGTGCAGCTGTCGAGGTTGTATGTAAGGTTCGATGCTGGTGTTGATTGTTTTGATAAGATTGTGGACTGCAAGGCACGTATATGCGGGTTGCGGGGTGAGTGGGCGGAGGGTGTGCGAGTGAGGGCTCGTGTAAGTGAGAAAGTAGACGGGGAACGAATTTCTCCATTTCTTTTAAGTAAAGTACGGGCCGCGCGGGACTGTTCTTTTTACGGCCCTGCAACGGCCGGATGGGACCGTTGTTTCGGACACTGGTGGGGTGTTGCACTATGTTCGGCAGGAGTTGGCTGTGCTGTATGCGGAGGTGGCTGGGGACGCCGCGCTTGCGGAGGATTTCTTGGGTCAGTGCGTTCCTGGGTTGTCGGTTGCGGAGTGTGCTGGTCTGGTGAAAGAGGTCTCCTTGGCGGAGCTGCTTGTGGTGGTGCGGTCGTTTCGTTCCGGGAAGGTGCCGGGTTTGGATGGTCTTCCTATTGAGTTCTATGTCGCCTTTTGGGATGTGTTGGGGGATGTTCTGCTGGAGGTGGTCCGGTCTTGTCTTCGGGAGTGTGTTCTGCCTATGTCTCAATGCGTTGGGCTTCTCCCGAAGCCGGGCGATTTACGGTTCTTCTCGAACTGGCGGCCCATTACTTTGTTGAATGTAGACTACAAGATCCTGTCTAAGGTCTTGGCTGGTCGGTGTCACAGTGTTGTGGCATCTGTTGTCTCTGTTGAGCAGTTTTGTGGTGTTCCGGGTCGATCTTTGTTGCATTGCAATGCATTGTTTCGAGATGTGCTCTTGTATGTGTCCGACTCTCGCTTGTCGGCGGCGATGATTTGTCTGGATTGGTCGAAACCTTTCGACCGTGTGTCGCTCGATTTTGTGTTTCGTGTGTTGGAGAGGCTGGGCTTTCCGCCCTTGTTTGTTCGTTGGGTGCGCATGTTGTACGCTCAATGTTGTAGTCGGGTCTGTGTAAATGGGTTTTTGAGTGATTCTTTTCCTGTGCGTCGCTCAGTGCGGCAGGGTTGTCCGCTTTCGATGCTCCTATATATCGTCTTTCAGGAGCCTTTTTTTCGGGCGATCAAGGGATATCCGTTGATCATCCCCCACCCGTTTGCCGTCGGGTCTTCGGTTGCCTATCTGCGGTTATGCGGATGATACCGTCCTGTTCGTGGCCTCGGAAGGGTCGGTTTGGGCGGTCCAGGTTGTGGTTGAGAGGTTTGAGTTGGCCACTGGGGCATGGGTAAACCGTGCGAAATCCGGTCTTCTGGGTCTTGGTGGGTGGTCCTCTCGCCGTGTGTAGGTGGGGTCCTGGATTCCGGTTGTCGCTTCTATGCGGGTTTTGGGGCTTAGGTTCGCTTCCTATGAGCGGTCCTTGGCTTGCAATTGGGATATGGTTTCCCAGAGTGTCGGTTTTGCGATTGGGTTGTTGGCTGTGCGCCCGTTGACGATTTATCAGCGGGTGCTACTTGTGAATTGTAAAGTTTTGTCCCGGGTCTGGTTCGTGGCTCGGTGCTTCCCCCTGGATTGTAAGCTGGCTTTCGGGTTGGAATGCCAGGTTTATCGTTATGTGTGGTGTGGTCGATACCACCCGGTTCACCGGTCGACGTTGGTGTTGGCTGTGCAGGAGGGTGGGGTGGGCATTCCTGATGTGTTCACGAGGGCTCGGGCGCTCCTCTGGGTCTCGTTGTGTCAGGGGTTTGGGTTGGGTGGGGGGCTCAATGGTTTGTGTATTTATTATTGCTCTGTTCGGTTTAGCTATTTGGTGAATTTTGGTGTTTGTCGGGAGGCGGCAGTCTGTACCCCCCCCCCCCCCCCCCCCGGTTTACTCTTGGGCGGTGGCGATTCTTAGGGAGGTCTGCTGTTGTCCGGGGTTCCTGTCCTTGTCGGTCAAGGCGGTGTATAGGGTTTTATTTCGTCGTGTTCCACCGCGGGTGGAGGGTTTTTTCCCGTGTTGGGATTGGGGGATGTGTGGGCGGCGCTGGGGGCTCGGTTTCTGGCTCCGCAACAGCGGGAATTGTTGTTTCGGCTCTTGCATTTGTCGTTGGCGACGAATGCAAGGTTGTGCATGCTGGATTTGCGTGCCTCTGACGTGTGTGTGCACTGTGGTCTCCCTGAGACACAGTTGCATGTCTTTTATTTTTGCGGGCGGTTGCGGGGTTTGCTTGATTGGTTTCGGGACGTGTTGGTTGGGGTTTGTGGACCGGGGTGTCGGGGTGACCTTTTGAGGTTTGTTTTTGTCCTTTCCGTGGAGGTCGCGCCGGGTTCGAAATACGCTATGTCTTCTTGTTGCTGTCTTTGTGTATTGTGTGTGGGTGGGAGGGTTATGGGGCTGCTAGGCTTTTAGGGTTTTTGAGTGGCCGTTTGCGGTTCACGTGGTGGTGGATGCAGCGTACGTTTCCGAGCGAGTTTCGTGGTTGTTCACGGGTGGGTATGTGCGTGGGGTTGCTTTTGGGTGAGTGGTCTTCTCTGTTTTCATCCTAGATCCCCGGTCCTCCGGTGGGCCTCCTCGGGAAGGGGAGGGGCGTTGTGCTGGGTGTGTGTATGGTTGCTCCTGTGGTTGTGTGTTCGGTTTGGTGTGTGGGGTTGTGTGTGTGGGGGGGGTTTGCTTCTTTGCTGGCTCCTGCGTGGGCCGTCGCTTGTGCCATGTCTGGGTTGATGCGGCTGTTTTGTTACTCATTTTGTTGGTACGATTGCTGTTTTTCATGGAAGTGTGTTTGTTTGGCGAACGTGTTTCTCGGTGTTTCATTGTTCGCCCCGGATTCTTTCTTGGGGTTGTCATGTAGTTGTGCCTGAGCCTTGGCCGTGATTTGTTTTTATGTTACTTATATGATTTGTGTGCGATGTGCTTATGCTTTGTGTTATTTATGTACTTGTGTGCATTTTGTATATGTGTGAGTGTCTGGTTTATTCTGTGTACGTTTTTTGTGTCTTTCCATGTCCATATGCGTCCGTTTGTTGTATGTCCATTATTATGTTTAATTTTGTATTCGGACTTATGTACCTGGAGTTTCTGAGGTCTTGTAATGCAATGTTCTCTTTTGTGCATGTGTTTATTCTTATGTTTTTGTTATGTTCTTGTTCTTATGTTCATGTCTTGTATCTTGTGCTATACTTTGTATATTTCTTTTATATAAAAAAACGTGGAATGCCAGTAGAAAATCAGTTGAACGACACAAACGAGGAGAGCTAGTCTACGGACAACCTGGCATATTCAAATAAACTATGATTTGAAGACTGTACACCGTGCATCCCAGTCAAGATGAATGCTCCTTTCTTCGCATGCTGTTGGTAAATGTGCCTGCTCCAACGTCTTTCCAGCAATTACGATTTGTCAACGTCGTTACACCCGCCACTTTCTGTAGTGCATGTCAAGCTCTGAATTTACTGAGAAACGACCGACACTGGGATTTATGCATTAATTTGCGTCCAACACGTCACATCCAAATCAAATTTGTGCATTGTTTGCAATCATATTGACCATCGGCTCTCCTTCATCTGCAACAGAGTTACGGGAGATATATAAATCACACATGGCTGTAGATATTATCCGTCGAATACGCAAGGAAAATTCAAATATGCACATGGATTTCACAGCAAAATGTACAACGAAACGCTGATAATGATTGAAGATTTGTGCTTAGAAATCGTGAACAAAGTTCTCAATCAATTGGAAATGCCAATCGATCTGCTGCTGATTCGTTCGATGTAGAATTGCATCATGAACAAAATTACAACACGGGTGATCTGTTGTCGTATCTGTAATCAAATATTCCTAAGCTAACGCTTGAGCGAAAAGGTATTTACAATCAAATAATTTAAACTGTCAATAACAGGCCTGGAGAAATCTTCTTAGATGCGCCAGGAGGAACTGGTAAAAACCTTCATAATTAGATTGATTCTGGCAGCATTTTGATCACAAAATGGCCTAACCTTAGCTCTTGCATAGTCCGGAATACCTGCGACATTGCTACCAGATTGAAGAACCGCTACTTCGGTTTTGAAATTGCCATTGAAAATGCAATTCACTGAAACTCCCACGTGCAACAATTCCAAAGGATCTGCCATGGAAAAAGTATTGCAGAAATGCAAACTTATTGTTTGGGATGAATGAACAATGGCCCACAAAAAATCGCTCGTGGCTCTTGATCGATCATTGCAAGATTTGCGAGGAAACATCAGACTATTTGAGAACGCATTACAGCGGACGAAATAAATGCTACACTGAAATACTCTACTTTGTGGCGCCACATCAAGATGTTAAAATTAACTACAAATATGTGTCCAGCTGCAAAACGATCAATGAGCTGAGATATTCTCACATCAATTTCTGGAAATTGTGAACGGAAACATGCCGGTAGATCTGACCTCAGGGCGAATTTCATTGCCTCATAACTTCTACAATTTAGTGACGTCAAATGAAGAATTGGTTGAAAAAGTATTTCCCAATATTCAAACCAATTATAAGAATCACGATTGGCTGAGTGAACGAGCTATTCTTGCGGCCAAGAACAAAGACGTCTACGAACTTAACAATATTATTCAGTTTAACATCCAAAGCAAGGCAGTCACATACAAGTCCGTTGACACTGTTGAGGAAGCAGATGAAACGGTTAATTATCCAACAGAATTGTTGAATTCACTCGATCTAACATGGATATCAACACATGTACGTCAATTGAAATTCGGCTTGCCAATTATTTTGTTGCAAAATATCAACCAGCCAAAACTTTGTAGTGTAACACGCCTTGTAGTAAAAAAAAAAAATAATCAACAACGTCGCAGAAGCAACAATCTTGACAGGACCTTTCAAGGTGAAGATGTCCCCATTCCTCGCATTCTTATTAATCCAACAGATATGCCATTTCAACTTAAGAGATTGTAATTTTCAATTCGATTGGCGTTTGCAAACACCATCAACAAAGCTCAGGGCCAATCTTTAGAATTGTGCAGTTTATATCTAGACACGGATTGCTTCTCTCATGGACAATTATATGGTGTGTGTTCTGAAGTCGGCAAACCAGACAATCTCTATATCTCCACAGACAATTGAACAACAAAAAATATTCTATACCCACAAGCATTGTGAAATAAACATATTAGAAACATGCACTTGCTCTTTTCTTTCTTTCCCATTTACCCATTTTGAGCCACAGCAACGCGTGTCGGGTACAGCTAGTCTATATAAATAAAAAGGGAAATGTTCGTTTGTTCAAAATCGGTTAGCTCCGAAAGTTCTTCACCGATTGCTTTGAAATTTTCACACAATGTTCCAATCGCATCAGAGCGGGTTTATATATACATATTATATTGATGTCACGTCTGTGACGGAAAAAACATGCTTTTTTAAAAACGGTGTTTTTCATGTGAGAGAAATATTCGAAACCTCTTTACCAATTGCTTTGAAATTTTGACACAGCGTTGCATTTGAATAGGCGAATCTTTTTATGTACTTACTATATACATGCCTTACCAGTGCCAGGAAAAAACATGCTGTTTTGATAATGAGCGGCATCTGTTAGACATAAGGGCAACACAGCTGTAAGCTCCCAAAGTTCTTCACTGATTGTTTTGAAATTCTGACACAATGTTCCATTCAAATATGCGCGTGTTTTTATATACCTACTGT